AAGAAGGCCCAAAATTTATGAAATGCCCATTAAAATGATCACTTTTAAAGGTACTCGGTTTTAGGTTAAATTTAGTACAACATGGTTGTTTACGAGACTTGGTTGTAGTGTGTGTAAAGATGTCAGTAAGTTATTTGCCAAAACCACCTATTATAATTTCCATTTGAAACGCTAAACCTAAAGCTATTCAATGAATAATATGAATTCCAAGCATCAACTACAGTTCCACTGAACATTAAAGTATCAGTTATTTAACAATAACATATTCAAAAACCATTTCTGGCGCCAGCTTAAATGAGAAAAAATGAATTTTATAGTATGAAATGATTACTCTTACAAATTCGTGCAACATACTGTTGAATTATTGCTAAGTTCATAATTTCATTCATTTTTTCATACAGACGTTTACACGAATTATTCGTTCTTGCTCATATGCACTTCATTGTGTAGTTGGGTTATGGATACTGAAAATCATCAGCAATCGAAGATGCTATACGTGAAGATTAGAAGTGAACCAGATTTGTGAAAATTACGTTGCTTTCGTTATTAGAATACATCTTGAAAATTACGAAGTCCAGCGAAATAATCTCTACTTTTTTATGAGGAAATATGAATAATCAATAAGTATAATGATGTAAGCAAAAGATTACAACACTAGGTCGTTAATGTAAACAGTGACAAAAGAAGATATGGTACCAGTTACGGATGGGAAAAATTAATCATTTAGCAGCGGATTATAATGTGAATGAAGTAAGACATGAAATATTTTCATCTCAATAATCAAGGGTATTAGAGGAGTTAAATGAAATGAATTGACTTCAGAAATAATTATGAATAAAACAACAGGGATATGAAAATAAATAAAGCGAGGGAGAATTTTTCAAATGCTTAATAAAGGGAATTAAAGTAATAATAATAACAATGGTGATAATAATATTAAGTTTAAGACCATTGTAGCGACAATGGTAAAACGCTAAACTTTTGTACATGCATCTCAGGCTTCATTTGTTTGTGAATAAGAGGAAATCCTGGTAACTTCGGAAAAATTCTGTTAGCAACTTTGTAATAGACCTGTGGATCAATGGAGTGGTTGGAATCCTTTAGAAACCCTGAGGATAGAACTCTTAACCGCATTTTTACGACCTTTATAGGACCGTACTAGTGTATGTTCTTATATCGTAGTTGAAAACAAATACTGGCTACTGCTTACACACCTTTGTCCATAAGAGCAAGTGAACTAATAGATCAAACGAGTGATCTTACCCTCTACCAATACGGAGAAAATATTCCCATCAGTGAATTTTGGTTACAGTTTTGTCGCAAAGATCTTTATTAATAGAACTATTTTATTACGCTAAAAAAACGCACACACTAATCAACGCATTGAGAATCAAATTGAACTAGTCACTCTCTTGTACATGACAAATAAGAATGATAATTAATTCCAGTGCATATCAAGCACATTTATTTAATAGTTTCGTTTGGCATAAAACATTGACGGGAATCAAAAGGAGTCAGTAAGATTATGCTTATGAAGAAAACGTTTATGAACCGGTTTCACAAATAACTAATCACTTTCATTGAAACTTAGCCAGATTTTGTGTATCACGATTTTGAATTACAAGTAAGTAAATTTGATATTCCACATCTTGGTACAGATTTTTTCAAAAAAATGTCATGGAAATACTATTGTCCAAAATTGCATTTTATTAGATCAGTCTATTTTTGAAAAAGGACAATTATCCTTGATTAATTTATAAGAATATTCGTCAAGATTAGAACGAATAGTTTGACAGTAATTGAGCGCCGAGTTATTATTATTGAAAGAATTCAATGAGTTTTTTAAACAATACAATTTATGTTTTGACATGCACATCGATCTTTCATTATCAAGTTTTCATCCTTGAACTTGAACTTTGTTTATTCCTTCATATCAATCTCTTACACATACATACATACCTACACACTCACACACATACGATTTGTTACTCAGTTAAGTATTTCCATGTAGTTGAATTCATCACATGATTTGTAGTTAACTGACTCATTTTATTCTATTTTACAAAAAATCAACATCCAAATATGATTGGTATAATCCTGATTGTTAAAAGCTATATATTTCTTTGATAATTTTGATTTTGATTATCACCCTGAAGAAGTCCAGACAAGTTAGCTGGACGAAACATTGGAATTAGTTAAATTTCAATCGCTGAGAATATTTCAAATATAATTTTCACATATAGTATCCTTGATTAAGTTCTGTCTTTCTATTATTATTTTAATTTTCATTTAAGGTGACATTTTGTAAGCTACACGAAATCTCAATGAACTTTTGTTTATAAATATATCCCTTGATCAGGAACATACGATCTGATTACATCAATGGTGTAGGGCATAAGTCAAAGTTATTTATTGGTACCCGACAATTTTGATCCGTAACGTAGTAAGGGTAAATAAAAGCATAGTGATTATATCCTTACGACTGTTAAAAGAATATTAGTTGACCAGTGCTGATAAAAAATATAGACACTTCAAAGAAATGAAACTATTTCAATTTCATAGAAATTTCTGACTACATTTTTAACTTGGGAATCTATAAAAATTTGAATAAATTTGTAATGATAACCCACCAACGATTTTTGACATTATGAAATATGTGAATGATAGATTTACTATCAAAGTAATTAGCAGTATAACCACTTGATTCGAGACAAATTGGTCATCTGTTTGTTTGATAGAATTTTTGCTTAGAGATAATGATATACTAGTGATTTTTACAGGGTCAAACATTGATCTACATTTTTCTTAGTCCGAAGTGAGAATGTCAGTCTTTGATGAAAGCTAATTCTATAGTTAATTGTGATTTCAATTTGATTTTTTTCAACTCCAAATAAAACATCGATTAAGGATTGTCTTCCTTGTATACTATTTTCGACGTTGACTGGCGGTGTTTTCTTTGATAGTAACGTGTTTTTTGAAGCTCTTAAAATTGTACGGGACGTAAAAGTTGTATACACATGCAAATGACACGATTTTCTTTTTGAAAAACAGAAATTTAGTTTTACCATTGAGTAGTCATTGATATCATACACATAACGGTATAGTGAAGCATATTTCCCAATAAAGCATAATTGTGTCTTTTATTTGAATTGGTTTCATAAAATTCGTTATACTAGGATAAATGGACATATTTTATTCACTGTTTACGTTGATACCATATATACCGTTCGTTTAAATTCAGTGAACTCAGTTACCTTGCTATAAATCAATAGCTTAGCTTAATCATTTAAAACGTTATCATATATACTGTGAAACCTTTGTGTTACTTTTCTCTTGGCAGGTCAAAAGCTGCACATCTTCATCTCCATTTTGGAAATAATAAAGAATTCCAAAAAATAATTTGTCGCTTCAGATAACTTGTGAGTTATAAAGGGTGCATAAATAAATAAAAAATGTTCTCAATATATGTACTTGATCTGTAATTCGACTTATCCGGTTATCTTGAAATAACTTCAAAATGTTTAAGTATTAACAGTGTATCTGTATAAGACATACTCACCTTTCTTGTGTAAACTGTTGTTTCAACCATTAATTTATTCGCTCAACAAACATCAATATATATATATATATATACCAGATGATGCAAGGAATCTCGCACTTCAGCTTATCGTTGACGTAGATTGCTCTTTCATTAATTTAGGCAAAGTGAATTATTGGAGTGACTGAATAAATATTTTAGACCTTAATTTAGTCCTAACTAGTTTAATTTTAATTAATTTTTGTTATTCTGCTTGTTAAATGGCTGAAATAATTGTTTAGTGCTTCGTACTAGAGCTGAAAGTTAAATGCTTAAACCACATCAACAGAATTAAACGAAAGATGAAAACTGATAAACGTCTTTTGTCATTGTTCATTTTGGTTATCTGTGTGATCATATCTGAAGAGCAATGTTTCATACACTTTGTGACAGAAATTTGTTATTTCTCTTATATGTGTGACTTTTTCTTTTACAGGTTCATCGTTCACATATAAAGTCTTATTTACTTCTCGGAGATATAGAATTAACTGAAAAAGCGAACATAAAATTAGCAAAGCAAGTAAGCCTTTAACTGTAAATCTATGAATTTGTTAATGCTACCTCATCCTGAATATATGTCAACATATACTTTACCATTTTCGGAACAATATCTCTCTTCACCTGCATGACAAAGTGATCAATATGAAGTCTCTGTACGCTATGAATTGAGATTGCATAAACTTAAACCCTCAAAATATGCTCTACTCTATACTGAGCGTTTTTAACCCGTGAATTTACATACTATTTAAGAATATTTTTATGAATCAGTCCTTAGAACGGTTTACCTGTGAAGTTTTAACCTTTTCAATTTGTTAGAGGTTGTTATATATATTTCTGCAGCAATTTGGAAGACTCTCCCGGTCTCCCACATTGTACGAGCGTTCCATGTACATAAATTAATGGTTTCTCTGGTTTTCAGAAGGAGCATCAGCCTCGTGACTTCCCAAGAAAATCGGCTATCACCATGAGACGTCACAACTCTTTTAAATGAAGACCTTCTAACTCACAGGGCAGAGTTTAGATAGTCGGAATTATTAATTCTGGTTAACGTCGTTTTACGACTTAGTGTTCTATGAGATGGGGTCGCTAACCACATGCCCATATATATATATATATATATATATATATATGATGTCAACAAATTACGTGTAAACGATCAGTTCTTGGTTCATTTAATTAAAGTTTGGTTGAAATATCATGATACTGTATAACAATTTAAGTAATGTACAAGAGATCTAAGGTTTCCCAAAAAACGTAGTAGCTAAATTTCCCAATATTGTGTAACGTCTTAACAAAGTGAGATAGATAAACAGTACAAGGAAAAAATCCACCAATCAAAATAACTGGCCAAGTGTATTGGTCATTAACGTTACATGGATAAACTCAAAATTTTCCTTTCCTTTTTACCTTTTCTGATTTTTGCATTATCTTCAAATTATTTCGTATCAAAAATACTTCATTTAATTTGACTTAACATCGAGGCCATTAATAAGTGAAAGTTTTGTTTCTCATATTAGTCAAAAGTTTCTAATATGAATTCACTATGTTAACAATTGCATACATTCAACCAATTCTTCAGTAGTATCCTGTAAATTAAGTAAGTGTATCCAGTTTCGGTAGCAAACCAATTTATATTTCTATAAATTATGTATTTATGCACTTTTCTGAGTCATTCAGGTGATGTCATCATTCATTCAGTACGTACTGCTTAACATTATGGTTATTTTATGATTTACTTCATGTATATTTGATGTTCTACTGAAGCTTCGAAAACACTGTGATGTGAAACCATTAACCAAAACAGTTATTTACAACTTCAAATATGGATAAAGATCAAGGAGTGAGAAGTTAATTAAACCATAATGTTTCACACCTTGTTGTAATAAAACATTCAAGTTTGTTTGCAATACTTCTGAAATCATAAAAGTTAATGTACTTGTGAAATATATCAGATGCGGGTTTTTATAGTTCCCAAAATCAAAGAGCCTCACTACATATTTTATAGGTATGTAAGTATTAATTGCCGAATATATACAAACTTGAAAATTTTTATGTAAGGTTTCATAGTGAATAATACGATAGTCCTTAATCAAACATAGTGCTTACTTCTGAATTTTGTATCATTGTATGTCTCATATGATTCCCTTTACCTTGGAAAATATATGTAACATAAGAAAAATTGTTCATTTGGTTAGTCTTAAACTTAACTAAGTAGAATATTTGGCAGTCAGTTCTGATATACCTACATTCAGTTTTCCCAAGTTTACAAATATTAGTAACATGGATAAATCTTATTATGTTGCTGAGGTATCCTTACAAATAAGCGTTGTTTATCTTCAATGTTATTAGCCCACTAAATTCCAGATAATTCAACCATAAAACAATCATACTTTATCTAAATTGTACCACAGTCACAAAGACATTCCAGGCTTGCGTCCTTAAATTTTTGTATCAAACAGGAAATTTAAGATAAAAAAGAATGTGTTTTGATAATTAGAGGTATCATAAGGCCGAAATATAAGCAGTGAAGGTAATGTAATAATTGTATGGGTCTAACTTAATGATAACAGTTTTCCATTCAGTAATTAGAGCAACTGAACGAGTGTCTTGTGTTAATTATCTGATTTTCGTACACATTTTCAAGTTATTTACGAAGTTAAATCGGAATAATTATTTCAGGGATTCTAAGACGTCAAATACATTTACTGTATGTGCAAGTTCTTTATGTGGGATAAGAGACACTAAATTTGCCTCCAGTTAGTGATTTTGGTTTTAGTGAGTGGCGTTTTTCAAATTTCGGTTTTGACACGAGATCTGATAATATATACGACGGAATTATAGGACGCAGCTACACCATAAGACCTTTTATTTTTTAATAGTTTACGCTTCTCACGGACATTTAAATATGATTAATTATTTGATATGACTAATAATACATAACTGGAGTTAATTCTACCAGGTTAAATGTTCATTCAAATATTTAAATACGAGTCATAAAGTGTGTTATCACACCTGGTACATATTTTAGTCAGTTTAGATCAAGTTTACATGTAAGATCTATTCGACACCTGTACATTTGATATGTTCTTTAGTTTACTAATATGAAATATTCAGTCCTTAGGTTTCAATGTATAATACTGAGTATACGGTTTCATATATCCCTCTAAATGTTCATATTCGTCAATAGTACTTTTTTGTTGTTTTATATCAAACTGAATCTCTAAATGACAATATTCAATTGATTGTGTTGATTTTTAAATAATTTTCATGGTGATTGTTCCCTGTTATTGTTATAAAATAATTATTTCCAGGTAGTGAAGAGAATATATTATTTGAAAAAGTATTTTTTTTTACCGCCGACGCTTGTAATTTCGTTATTATTCAAAATTATTCCAAAGTAATAGAATATAAAACTACCATTGTTTTTAACAGTAACATATTTTATTGATTGGCAACTAGTTAAAATTGAAACCTGGAACATACAGTATTCCTATCAAGTTGTTACGATAAGAATTTCGATGAGAACACAACATTTCGACTCCTATTTTTTTTGCTTTGATCTACCCTATTTTTAAATTGTCTCTTTTCTTCTTTGATATGAATAAACAAGAAGTTTAGAAAAAAGGTATTCAATTCACCATTTATTCATTAACCAAATTTTACTCAGATTACTTAATATTTTAGATGAAAACTTTATTAGATTTGTGACCAAGACCTTAATTTGTTTCATTTTTTGACTAAAGCATATATTTATTTATCATAATAGTTATCGAAAAAAAATGAAAAATGAAGAAAACGATAGGGTATTTGAGTTAAATTTCTATTACAATTTACTATCTACCTTGTATAATGAACTTTTAACCAGTTTTTATTTTAGTACAAGAACACATGATGTAGTCGAAAGCGAAAATAATGTGGAGATTGTCACTAATATCACTTATACAAATTGAATGTATACAGCTTAGAAATATCGTGTCTTTATCAGTAATCATCGATATTAGAAAACTACTAGAAATAACCAGAAATCCCGTGCATATAAATGTTCATTTTCTGGCGAATAACATTTTACTTCTCATGATGAAAACTGCTAACATATATTTTCAAAAGAGCTACTCACTTTGATCCCACAACACTTCTTTGACTATACAAGTTAGAGTATACAACATTTTTGTATTCTTAATGCTCATTCGCGCCTATAAAACCATTTTGACTAGTTCGCTTTTATCAAACACCTACCTTACATTCACCGTAACGTTAACAACAGTTAGTAACCGCATAATAAGTAAACATAATCATAAGCGAAATAGGATCATGTTCTCAAACATTTATAAAGTGTTTTTTTATTAGTGAGACTGGGGTAGTTTGACAGAATCAGTAGTGAATTAAAAACCTGATTATCTAGCTAACAGTTGCTTATGTATCACAACCAACTAGTGTCATATTACTTTAACAAGTCAACTAAGATGGTTCAAGACTAAAGAAAACAGTCAAAATGCATACACCGTCGTTGTATTATCCCTTGAAATTAATTGAAAGGGAAAGAAAATGAAAGTTTCTGATAAGTAAGTGGCAACCTACAACTTTGGATGGCATTCGAATATATTCTGCCTCTTTTTACTTTTATATTTTTATAGATATCATTTGTTGTTTTAAGATTGTTGAAATCTCATTTTGCTTAAACTGAATAAATTTACAAATGATGAGTAACTCAGTAATTTACAAAATATACATTCTAGGTTGAAAAAAATTATGTATAACAAATTAAGGACAATTTTCGACACTGATTGACATTAACTGCTAAACTATTGAAGCCGAGGAACACTAAACAGTCACTTCAATTTGGTTTAGCACTTTTTAGAAATGTGCTCTACTGGGAATGATTTACTAATTTATGTCGGTTTGTACTTCACATGGAACTAATTTTTACAATTTATTTAACTAAAATATTGAGGTCATTTAAAACATGTAATAATTTAGGCAAAATCAGAATATTAGTGTTCGATTAGATAGTATAACAATAATATAAAAATCTATAGTTTTACTTGTCACATATGAATAAGTTACTTGAATTAACTATCTAAGTATGCATTGAAGCAATGATAGCATTTCAGTTCAGTTTTAAATTATGTATTTCTACGAACACCAATGTGAAACTGAATACTTCAAGACTCACAGTACAACAAACACTTGAACAACTAAATTAAATTAATGTGATTTAATCACTTAAATATTGTTCTAGAATATATTGTTACTATTAATTGAGTGATTGATTTCTGCCTCAGATTTTATTTGTAGCTCTCTCTCACTATTTTATGATAATACTTGATATTACTTGATATTGGATGTTTTAAATTGATTTCAGACGATTATAATTAAGATGAAGAAAAACAAAAACTGAGTACACTCTATTAAACAATCTTGTTAGTTGAATATAATGTAGGATACATGAAATTTCGATTTATGCAAGAAGGTAGTATAAGATATCAATATTTCGTTTCAAGACAAAATCATCAGTTATACACGCAATACTAGAAACACTAGAAACCTCAATAATTTCTTTTGTTTTTGATTGAGATCATGAACCGATTGATGTTAGACCACCGTTGGAAACCTGGAAGCACTGGACGGCCTTTTAGTCCCATTGTGGAACTCCTCAGCAGTGCGCATCTACGATCCCGCCTCGCGCAAGACTCAAACCCAGGGCCTTCAGTCTCGCGCGCGAACGCCTAACCTACTGGACCACTGAGCCGGCATCCAGTGGTGTTGGTGTCTAACACCAACCAATCCACGAAATTGCGCGGCCATTTTCCATTGTACTGAGGTAGACACCTGTTTCTACCCAACAAGGATTAGCTCCACTGGTCACGGCTTCTCACTAGAACTCCGAGAATTCCCTCACGAAGCTAATCACTAGTGAGCACATGTTAATTATCAATATTGGGGTTGTAGAGATTATTAGGTTTTTTCAGAGTCCCACAATAGGACGAAACGGCCGTCCAGTGCTTTGAGGTTTCCAACGGTGGTCTAACATCAATTGGTTTATGATCTCAATAAAAAAACTTAATAATCTCCACAACCCTTATACTGAAAATTCTTTTGCTTTTGTTTATTTACACAGTTAATTAAAAGTCATCCATCAATAGTTCTGTGTCTGTATTGTGGAAAAACAATATGATTTCCAATTTTCTTGTTAGTTTTCATTTCATAGAAAACATAGTTTGAAGTTATTGAGTTTATTATAATTCTACAGTGAATAGAAATATTTTAAATAATTTGAATCAAGTACATACATTTGAATAAGTTAATTTACGTTACGATAATTTAAATATTCATCATAATTAACACAAAACTATCCATGCAGTGAGTGTATCATGAGACGGAAAAGAAATACAACTGACAAAACAGATAATTTTGATTATTGTGTAGTGTAATGGTTAATATTTTTTTATAGAAGTTTATTTCTTTAACTAGTGAACTGGGATGTTTAACTTTTTCATGAATAGATGATTTTGAAAGGAGTAACAAGAATGTTGTTCACCTGGTTAACATAATGAACATCTTATTTAGCTCTGTTTTGTTCAACTTGTAGGCAGTTTA